CATACGTGAAGTGAAGCTTTCCGATTCCCCAACCCACATCTTATGGAGGGGCGTGGCACTCTTCAATTTACGCGACGCCTTGTCACTGAGGGAAACCGTCTTCGCAGTGGGGTCGAAACAAACCCCTATGAATTCGTAACGCGCGGTGAGAGCCTCGTGCTCTCCCACCGTTGCGCCGCATTTGCGAATATTTGTCGCAATAATGTTCCCCCACGAATCTACGCTCTTGCGCGGCCCTTTGATGCGAATATTACCAATCCACACGTGTAGAGCTAACTCCGTCGGGGCTGCATAACGCGGTTTAACCACCTCGGGGTCACCAGCAAAAACTCTTGAGATCGTATGCACGATTTCCGGACTACATTTATACCCCATTGGGGGCCGTGTGAACTCGACCACCTCCCCCTTCTCCGTGCGACAACGGAAATTCCCGCGCGCCTCCGCTGGCAGGCCTACCTGGAAGAAAGATGCCTTTAAATCGAAAATGGCGGCAGCCCCATCGCACACCGCACCCAGGTAACGGGAAATGTGCCCTAGAGGAACCACACCCTCGTAGTCCTATTGTTCATTTTTAGCCTGTGGCCAGGCGATAAAACGTCGCCGTGGGCCCTGACGGTTTTTCCTTCACCACTGTAAAAGGCACCACCCACCCGGCAGTGGGTAGCTTTGATGCGGTTTGAATAATGCCCGCCCTCTTCATCGCCCGGACATCCCCTTCTGTCATTCTCAAGAGGGGCTCTCGTCCCCCTGTCCGGAAATTAGCTGGCTCTTGCACCAAATCCCACGCCGTATTAAACCGTTCCAGAGCCTTAGAATTGAGTCGGCTCCAGACTCAGCGCAGTGAGAGAGTATCCGCATCTACCTTTTGTAACGGTAACCTGCGTTCATCATTCTGATCGGCCGCCCGCGTGTGATGGGTACGTCGCAAAATGCTACGCCCCTGAAAAAATTGTCCCTTATCCTGCTCTCTGCCCGGACAGCCCCAAGGAGACATCGCCCATTTGCTGACCCCGTCTACATATATGCCGTCAGGTGTGCGGATTTGTTTACCAGTGCGACCCACGGCCCTATGTAGCGAGCTATGCTGCGTGGCGGCTCTAGAGGGTCTGCGTGTTTCCCCAACTGGGCCAGAAGGCGAGGGCCGGGATCGTGTTCGACCACGGCTGCGGCTGCTTGCGCCAGTGCCCCCCTTTTGATGGAATGCGCTGCCATGCCGAATGGTCGGAGTACATTTTCCATTTCCCTTGCGGTTGGCGTTATGAGCCGTTCCCCCTCCACCATTCCCTTGGTGACACACCTTACCCTTTTGGAACCTTCCCTTCCGATAACCATATACCGCGCCGCTCTTTGGGGGTCAATCTTGAAATTCTTTGGGAGGGCCCCCTAATCTACAATGAAGGCTTCCTTGTTTGAGGGTGGGAAATGGAATTTTCCTTTTGGAGTAGGGCGATTTCGCCCCATCGACTGGCTGTGACCCAGGCAAGTCGTAGGGCCACCCGACCGCCCTCCGAGGTCAGCATATTTCTGATGAGATCCAGTTCCACCTCTCCATGGGGCGGGCCTGTTTTATGGGGTCTGCGGCCGCCTTTCGTTGAAGACCGGACAAAATCATTTGAGCCGGTGACCGGCCTGAGGCCAGTAACGTCAGCAAGGTTCTTGTGTATTGCGCCGCGCTGCTCTTGCCCAGTTGTAGACTTACAATAAAAGGGGAACGTTTTCCCCACGAACCCCTAGATTGTACTTTTCCACGAAGCCGCAGAGTCTTCGCATTATGGACACCCTTTGCCCCCAAGCCGAATGGGCCCACATGCCCTTTGCTATGCGGTTCGCCTCGGGCGCCAGCGCCGTGACATATGGGTTGTGCGACGGCGCCGCAATAACTATAAACTCGTTTGCTGAGGCCTTTAAGGGCGGAAGAACCTGTCTTACCTGAACCCTCCCGAGCGGGGGGCGCTCGTGGGGCCTGGCATGGTAAAATGGCGTGTAGGGCCCTTCCCGCGGCGAAACGCCCTCTTCCCGGGCACCCGGCAGCGCCCGAAGCACCCGGCAAGGATTCCAATACTTTCCAGGCCCCGGCGCCCATTGTTTCCGAGGCCAATAATTGTTTTGGGGCTTAAACGGCGTTTTTTTCACCTGCACATAGCATATCGTGCTGTAATGCCCTGCGCGCCCGCATAGAAAACAACGCGCGTGGCTAGGAGGGGCGGAATGTTTTTTCGCTTTCTGGAACGCCTGAAAAATCGAGTCGTCCTACTTTTTGGGATCCCCGATGGCATTGGCAAGGGTTTGGTTATTAACACCGGGGTTTTTCTTCGACGCCTGAGCCACCCGAAGCTGATAACACAGCCGTCTGCCCAGTTGCGCCTCTTCAGCCGAAATGCCCTCGCGGGGGATAGCACAAATCCATGCCACGAAATTGCCCCACGCCTGGCAAAGGTTCAATCCAGGCTTTATGGGTAAGGGAAAAGGTCGCGATAAGCCGCCAGCAGCTGTTCTGGGGAGGTCTCCACTAAATACTCCATGGCTCCTTCAAAAGTCCGGATATTTTCTTCTAGTCGGAAACCCTTTTCCACGAACTTATTTCTTAGCTCTTGAATTCCTCGCAACCCCACCTGGGGCTGAGCCCCCAACGCATAAGAAAACCGTTCTGCATGCCCGCCCATCTTGGCGGTATGTGTCACCGTGTGGATATCTTGTGGAAAATATTCGTTTTCACCCTCTGTTGCCGCCCGCTGAGCTGGAAGTCCCTGTTTCTCTTTTTGGTTAAACCACGCCTGCATCTGATTAATCCGATCTTGCATCTGATTGTTCTCCTTACACAACTGGGTTTTCTGCGATTCCAACGTGTTAATCTGATGCTGCATTTGATTAAAGCGTTCATGTGATCCTACCGTTTGAGCGTAGGCGTCCTGCTGGATCTTTAAGTTTTCCTCCGCCAGTTGTGCCCTGGCCATTTCATACTGCTGATACAGTATCAACTTGCTTTCTTCCAGTTCCATCCACTCAGTTCGAAAGGTCGCCCGTGCATCGTCAAAAGCCTTGAGAAAGTTCTCATTCTTTGGCATGTTAAACGACACCATAGAGTGCCGCAAAGAAACAAAACTGGCTTTTACACCATTCTCCATACAAATGGTCAGTTCCCCGTTCTCGAGTGTGAGTACGCCCTCGACGCGATTGACCTGTGTAGTAAACATTGGTCTGTACTCGAACGTAAAGGGGGTGCGACCGCAATGTTCGACGAACGCTCTGAGAGCCGAGAGGCTCGTCATCCATTCCACATCCATAAGGGCCTGCTGGGGGTTGGTGGATAACATTGTGTCCGCTTATGGCTTACTTTTCGCTTCAAAAACTTACTCTTTGCGACTTTCCAACGGCAAGATACGTATACAAGAATGATGATGGATCCCAGGATCTCCTGTTAACAAGAAATGGGTAAGGCTTGACCATTCCTTTCGCAGGCTTTCAGACAAAAAAAATACCGTGTGGCTCGGGGACTTTCGAGGCAAAACAAAAAGCGAACACCCGGTATTAGGGACTGGAGCACCGCTACGGCTCGCCAGGTTCTGTGAAGCGGTGGTGCTTGTAAAATTTCACAAAATATGTCCCTAAAATGAAAAACTCTTCTATAACAAGCGCTTCCACCTTTAAAGGCACCAGAAACTGAGGTTACAGCCACTCCAGGGCCACCCGACGCACTGTACGTTGCACCGCTGGCTTCAGAGGCAAACGGCGCTGTGGACACTATGTGTGCGCATTCGGCTTGAGAGCAAAGGGGGTCAATAATAAGGAGATTCTGCGAATTCGTGGAAAAAAAAATTTAGAGATTCGGGAAGAGAATGCTCCTCTTTGTATTGTAAGTCTAAAATTGGCTTAAAGGAGTGGGGTTCAACATGCAAGAACCCTGCTAACTTTTCTGGCCACACGGGGAACACCGGCTCGCATATTTTTGGCTGGTTTACAGAAACGGACGAACTTAAGGCAACAAAAACAGGCCCGACTCATGAAAGGATTGGAATTGAATCCCGTCAGTGGTTTGATGGTCTTGGAACACGATCGGGCCGGACTACGACTGGCATGGGTAGCAGCCAGTCTGTGGGGCGCAATCGCCTTACTCCCAAAGGAAAACTTTGTACCGCACCTGAAAGCCACGAAAGCTCTTATTGTAGATTGGGGGGCTCCCCCCAAAGTGTTCAAAATAGACCCATATAGAGAAGCAATATATGCGGTTATTAGCGAAGAAGATGCGAACAATGCGCGAACCCTAATCATAAGCATGGTTGAACGGGAAACGCTAACAAACTTAACAACAAGAGGCATGGAAAACATTTTCCGATCATTCGGCATGATGGTGCATTAAATAAAAAGAGTGGCACAGGCCCGCCCAGCGCCTGCAGTGATAGGGCGCAATCCCGGCCCTCGGCTACTGGCTCAGTTTTGAAAACACGCAAACCATCCAGAGTTGTCACACAGCAAAGTTTTCTACTTCGGACACCGGACCGCTCTCGTGAACAAGCCGGCCCAGATAGCGGCATCCATGTCGATGGCATTGTGCAATGGGCAGGGCTGCCGTGTGTTTTTTAAAACAGAGAAGAGGGACATGTCAGGCAGCTTTTTGGGGAGAACAACATTCTGCGATGTAGCCGCCGTGCGCGGGCAGCCAAGAAGGAAAATGAGTAAATATTACCCTTTCAACAGGTAGACGTTGATACTCTATCACTCGATTTGGTCAGAAACCTAACTTAACTTAAAGGCGCTGTACCGTTTTAATCAATAATGGGAAATCATGCGACACCCCGCATTTTCAGCGAAGGCAGCACAAGTTCCCACCTTACGGAAATTAGAAGAAGACATGGAAAGTGAAAAAGACAGGCATTATCCAAAAAAGCATCGGCACAACCCAATGTATCTTGGGTTGGGTCTTTTACTGTTGTGGAGAAACCTTCAGGGTCGAGGCGGCGCTTCATTGCCTGGCTGAAAGAACTAAAAAAAAGCAAGAATACTACAATGCCTCGCTGCCTCCGGGGCATATCTTGCGTTACCTAGGTGCAGTTTATGATGAAAACGCCTCCATTTTTAACATTAAGGTGTAATTTTTTTTCAAGTAACTTACCAGCAGACACAGGCACGAATTTCCGGCGCCGTACGGAAAGTGGAGAACAAGTAGAGTTCACACGGATTCCAATGGGGTATAAACGTAGTTCAGAAATATTCCATGACATCGCAAGGGTTTTAGCGGGGGACCCAGAGATCGCAGAACCCAGATATGCGGCACCGCGTGTGTTAATAATACCTGCTTGAATCGATAATATCCGTATTAGCTGGCATCATGCAGGCGAAGCCCCATGCGGTTGCGCTATTGAACAAAACGTGAGCCGGTGCGGCACAATGGTGGGGAAACAGAAGATCATCCGAAAACGTTATGAATGCATTGGGGCGTCGCTAAATAATAAGGTAAGCAACGCCCCACAGAGCGATAAAACAATAAGGAAACCAAGGGGGGCTACACCTCTCTACAAGGTTTCTTTGGAGGAACTCCGAAGCATAACTTCTTGCATTATCTATGCAGCAGGCATTCTGCAGGTGGGTTCGCTTTAGGCGCCATTTTGTTCCAAATATGGTCCGTCGAAGATTGCCTCGGCCCAACTGGGGGTTATTAAGGCCCCAAAATCCGGCAGTTTCCCCCATTCATGCGCTCAAGGTTGGCCGGAGTTGGTTGGATAGCTTATTGGAAAGCAACCCAGATAACCCCCACCAGCATACCCACTTTCATGGCATTGGTTGCGCACTCTTCCATGCACGGATGAGCAGTATTATTTCTTAGGTGCAGCGGGGGGTTGTATGGGCTAAAGGAGCCGCATTGAAGCCGGCCCCGCGCGCAATTCACACGCCGAAGCCAGGGAACCCGGTTTAGCTTTGCGGGCGCTCGAGAGAAATTTGCCAATTACACTTCAAATATGCATTGGCAACGTGGCGGTTATGCGTGCAGTGAAGAAATGCAACACCCACCCAGATGCGCCAGTGCAAGAAATCTTTCTCATTGAAGCGGTTCTGCGCGAACAAGACGTACAAGCCACATGTAACTATGTCACATCGGAAAAGAATCCTGCGGACAGCATTTCGCGAGGTCAAAATGTCCAGTCGACGAGCATCGCGAAGGGGGGACTTACGAAGGGAACCGCGGGAGGCAGGTTAAGGGGGCGTTCGGCACCTCCTGTTTAACAGTTTCATAAACATTAACTCTTTGGTATTTTATGTGTGGTACTAGCTATGCGAAATCCTCATACGTTTGCCAAGATAAAATATGCAACTTTCTGTATCCTTTACCTCGCGAATGAAGGCAATGCGCATCCTATTCTCCACGGCGCATTCCTAATATTTAATACCACCTCCTCCCTTTCGGCCGAAATAAGAAAGAACGTTCACGAGTGCCCGCCGTTGGTGTGAAAGAGCGTCTCCTTTTTTACTATATATAATGATATTTTTTGATCTCTTTTATTCGTATTTTTGTTAATTTTGTATTTCGATATCTCTTAGGTTTGGACGCCACCTGTAATGAAAGGCACCCTGAAGGTTCAGGCGGCTGCTTCCTCCCACCCGAAACGTGCAGGCCCACATGCCCTTCCTTTTGCAAATCGTTGTGGACGGGTGGCGCATTTTGCCATCATGTTCAGCACAAATTTACAACCACAGAATGTTAGAGGGGGGGGGGTTGGATGAACCACCCCTAGCCCCGCATAGCGGTCACCAGTTGTATTGGGGAAGGCCGTTGGGGACAAAGCCTCCCAACTGCAAGGATATACTGGGCAAACTTCTTCATGAATCATAGATTCTCCACGCCACCCCGTTCACAGTAAAGTGGCAGCGGAACCCTTTAGGGCGGGTCAGCCCAGTAACTGCGAGCCCGTCCCTTCGCACTGTCCGGGCTGGCTCGGCTTCAAGGTGCCCAGACTGAATCCATCTCTGCCCACGTGGCGCCTTTCGGGTTCACGTATGCTGCGGCACTGGTGCCCAAATGTTGGGAATACAAAGGCAGTGAGGGGCAGTTCCTCAGAATCATCCTCCTAGAGCCTCCGGCGTTTCCCCGTTATGGGCATCCCTTGGCCCTCATAAAATTGTTTGCAGCACGACCGGGCTGAATCAATAGTGGCGAACCATTTCAACCACACCCTGCATTTTGTTTTCCGCCGCAGCATCGAGGGCGGGGGTGTTTTTATTTGTGCCTTATCCGCGCTTCTGTTGTGAGGGATGCCTCTGTTCCCGTTTGCCTTAGAAGATGCGATGGCGTTTCACCACCCCCCTCCTTCTTTACGGCCGCGCCGCGCAAGGTAGGGGGTTCACCTTTCTTGTTTGGGGGTTTTGGCGTGGTTTTGGTTGGTTCTTGCACCCTATTGCCCAGTCGCCTTGGTGATACCGGCCACCCCACCGCGGCACTAAGGCCCAGTGCCCCGTATTGTCGGGGGAAGCCGAGCGCCAGAAACGCCCGCCACCTGGGGAGCATTGCGGCGCCAGGCTTGCGGCATCACACAGGACCAGGACCAGCCGCGCCTCGCTTGGACACAGTATTATCCTTGTCGGTCTTGGGGCGCGCGTTACCGCGCCATCAGCAGTATCATCCGCACCAAGTTACTGCTTAGTGGAAATGTGGAAGAGAATCCCGGCCCTACTTTGAGGGGCATGCAATGGAACTCAGCTGGGCTAAC